AAAATCGGAAACGTCAATTTAGTCCGCTCGTCGCTCTTTTATCGGACGAGTTCGGTTTTGCTGACCACAATGAGCCAACAGAGGGCTTTGCTCTCTTGCCGGTAGAATCTGGAGCATTGGATTTTTTAACCTTAAGGCTGCCTGTTTCGACAGAAAGAAAGAAAGAAAACTCTGTCATGTGTATTAATCTGAACAAACTCGATCATGTATATTCTTAGAAATATTCCGTGGGTGTTTTTTATTTTCTTGCAGTGGGTCAGCTTTCAAAATATCCTTTTAAGAAAATAAACAGTTTTTACTTGGAAATAATTAAATCGAGTTGAACCAGTAACTATTGGAATGAGCTGATAACCCAAGTGTTTTCGGGTTAATCTTTGAGCCAGATATAGCATTTATAATTTAAGAAAATATGTTTTTTTTTCTCCAGTTAAATCAATACTTAACAATATTTACTGAATTTCTCTTAAATCAACATGAAATTTACATTTGTCTTCTCAAATGATTTGGTTTTGATCGGTGATAGGTCGAAGATACCATTTATGTAAATTAAAAGAACCGAACTTGAAGGATTGCAAAGACAAAAAAGCAACGTGCGACTCATGTGTGGTTTATCATCACCTATGATTGAGACATAATCCATCAGCTATATACTGAAGACTAAGAGGTGCGAATATGATAGCTTTAAAGTGGCGTGCTTCTCTGAAAAGCTAATGTGAAAGTGATTTTTCTACGGGGACGAATTTAATGAAAAAAAAAAACGTTTATATATATATATATATATATATAAACAAATACATGTTGCAGCCATGTTTTCACATGGCCTCCGAAAAGTTCGACCATTGAAATGGTCCATGGACAATAATAACTTATTTGTAAGTATAGCAAAAATTATTTTTTAAAAAATATATTATAATAATATTTTTTATTTTTTAAATTTATTTTTAATGTCACGTATTAAAACGATTTAAAAATATTAAAAAAATTTAATTAATTTTAAATAAAAAAATATTTAACCTAAAGATGTGCGTTTGAAAGTGTAGTATTAGTAATTTTTTAAAATAATTTTTATTTAAAAATATATTAAAATAATTTTTTTATTTTAAAAAATTATTCTGACATTAACATATTAAAATAATTTAAAATTATTAAAAATAATAATTTAAAATAAAAAAATTCAAAAATTTTTAAAACACAAAACAAGTCAAAAATAAAACGATTCATGTGAAAATATATGACCAGATGATTGCACACAGAGAAAGAAACCACAAGTATTCGAGACAAATGGCAAGCTTGGAAAACAGAGAACAAAATTTCCAACAGGCTGGTTAATGATTCAACAATGACTGGTCGTCCGATGAGCGAGGTGGTTTATTGTCAGTATACGAGTGGTCGGCTGGATAATCGAACGATTTTAAAAAAGTTCAAGATGGTCTCGCGTTGGGCAGCCAGTGATACCTGTCAAATTCGGCCTTGAATTGACAGGTCCATGATGAACCTATCTCACTGACGTGGATCCCTGGGGAGTGTGTTTGTCTGGTGTGGTTAACTGCATGTCAAATTATGATCGGCAGTTTTATATTTTACCCTTTTCACATAGATATTTTATAGGTATTAACGGCGAACTAATAAAGAACCCACTCGATATAAGTCACTAAGTAAAGGTTGAACGCCTTGAGAGTGTTAGTACGAATTAATTAATTATTCAATTGAGAGTTTTATTTCTAAATTAATTGAATTTTTATAAACGATATGTTGCTATTATCAACGACATAAATGGCTACTGTAGAGCTAATATTTATTATTGTGGTAATAATTATTTTTTAAAAATTAATTTTTATCTTTTAAAATAAATTTAACATGATACATTAAACGATTAAAAAAATAGCATTTCTTTCAATCATTGGCGGTCGTTTCTTTTGGTTTTATTAAGATTTGGACACCAAGTATTCAACAGGACCTATGCAGGTACTGTTGTCATGAATATTCTAGAAACGTGGGACCGCTCATGCTGCTCGTGTGTAATGTGGGGTTCAATTCATGTAAATCGCACGACTTGCCCATGTCTTTCTTATTGATTACAAATAGCATTGAGAATTAAAGAATATTATCTTGCGTTCCAATTTATTCTGCAAAAACTATAAAGAAGTGACAAAATGATGTATACAAACTAGTTATTTATTGTTTGTAAGTATTATTGTATTGTAAAGACAAAAGTAAGATTCAACCAATGGAGTAGTTTTTGAACATATAAAATATCCAATTTATTGAATTGTTGATATGAGATATTGGGTTAACTGGATTTATTTTTATACGATGTTTTTCTTATTAGAAAAATGGTTCTGATCTAATTAGGTTTAATACATATAAAATATAAAAAATTGATGTAAAATATGTTTTTTTTATTTATACACTATAAAAAATTAATGTAAAATATGTTTTTTTTATTTATACACAAAACAATGGTGTTTTTGGATCTAATTAGTAAGAACATGTTAATTATCTTGATAGATATAGTAATAAAAGATTTTGTTAATAAAAATTATCATAATATATCAATACAATATTTTTATTGATATATCTATTTGTATTTGTTAATTTTGTGATAATATATAAAAAAAATCTCTATACTAAAAAACATATATTTTATCCCCTCTCTCTCTATATATATATATAGAGAGAGAGAGGATAAAATATATACAGGATAAAATATGTGTTTTTTAGCATGGAAATTTTTGTTTTAAGGTTTAATAGAAACAAAACATAAAAGATTGTTGCAAGACATGTTGCTAAATATTTCTAGCTAATTTCTTTTGTTTCTCAATTAAATTAATAAGATATGACATAAAAAGTGGTCGGCAGCTGAACCAAATGCCATGCTATGGCAGTTGATGCATCATACTCTTTACCACAAAATGTTCGGTGGGCCCCAAATGTGTACAAAATGGGAAACGTCAAGTCGGCTCCTCGCTCTTTTATCGGACGAGTTTGGTTTTGCTGAACACGATGAGCCAACATAGGGCTTTGCTTTCTTGCCGATAAAATCTGGAGCATTGGATTTTTTAATCTTAAGGCTGCCTGTTTCGACAAAAAGAAAGAAAAAAAACTCGGTCATGTGTAGTAATTTGATCATGCATGTTTTTAGGAATATTCCGTGGTTGTTTTCAATTTCTGATAGTGGCCAGGTTTAAGAATATTCTAAAATAAAATAAATAGTTTTGAGTGAGGCAGGTTGATATGGTAATTATTAAATTAAGTCATAACCCGAGTCTTCTTTGAGCCGGACCTAGCATTTATGATTTAAAAAAAAAAATATTTTAATTTTTTTCATTTAAATCAATATTTAAAAACATTTATTGAATTTCTCTTAAATCACCAAATTAACATGAAATTAACAGTTGATTTTTCTTCGGGGACGAGTTTAATGGAGAAAAAAAAAAAACCTTAAAGGACCATTAATTTTTCAAGAGAAGCATGTAACTTTCAATGCCTCTCACGGGCCGCCGGCCCCATGTGTATCAATTTGTCGGGTGCGGTGGAGTCACGAAATTATTACCATTCACACCTAGAAATATAATATTAATCTTATTGATTATCAAAAACTTATAAAAAATTTAATTTTTAAAATAAATATTTATAAAATTAAATATGAAATTTATGAGATTGTAAAAGTCTTATAAAAAAAATATAAATAATTTTTTTTAAATTTAGTAGAGTTTATAACCAGATCATAAATTCAACAAATTAAATTATAAAGTCCTGATAGATCTAATATGTTATTATCTTAATTAAAAATAATATATTTTATCCTGATGGATTTATTATCTTAATTAAAAATAATATATTTTAAAAAAATTAAATTAGATTATATTTAAATTTGAGGTAAATAAGAAATTAGGTTAGGAAATTTTAATATTGATTTGTTGAATCAGATTTAATATTATTATAAAAATTTAAATATTTTTTATTTAAAATTTTTTAATTCGACTCGTAATATAACTTAAACACAGTACAATAAAATATAAAATATAAAATATTTTGAGGAATCCTCGGGATAAAAGATTGTTTTGGGACATTTTTATGGTTTCTTTTCTTATCTAATCAATTAAGCTCATAGTGAATAAAGTATATACAATTAAATTAAATAACACGTAAGACAAAAATAAATGTTCGAAACTCGAAAGCTAAAGCTAAAGTGATGCGACGTGGAGCCACTAGTCGAAAGTTGTGACGTCAGGTTGTTGGTTCGTCGTTCGTTTCTCAGGCGAGGGTGGTTCTGCTGAACACAATGAACCAATAGAGTGCTTTGCTTTCTTACTCGGAGAAACTGGAGGCTTGGATTTATTGATCTATAGGTTGTCTGTTTCTAGAAAAGAAAGAAAGAAATATTTATATTATCAATGCAATGAAATGACCAAATAACATTTAAATATTATCATAGCGTTTTTTCATACCTAAGGAAGTACTATACTATTTTTTTTTTCATTGTTTGAGTTTGAAATTATATGTGTGACCCTATTTATCTAGAAAAAAAGGTATTTGGTAATTTGACCAATCCTTGAAGTCATCATATTATATTTAATTAATTATTTTTATTAAAATAATATTATTTTATTTAAAAATAAATTTATGGTGTTAATTGAATCACTTAAAACACAATTAGATCAACTAGGTTTTAATAACTCAATGTCTATTTTAATTTTTTAAATTAAATTTTAAATTATGAATTTCTCAAATTAACATGTGTATTATCTAGAAGAATTTATTAAATTTATCTATAATTAGTCAATAGTCAATCGATGAGGGAATTTGGTTTTGATTGATGGAGAAATTAATTTAAAGGTACCATGCAAGGGGAAAAAAAAACATTTAAAGGGAAACGGACCCACCATCGATTATTGTTATTCGTTTAATTATAAATACAGTTGAGAGAATGCTGCTCGCTGCACTCTTAGGTACAGTTTCCCTCTTAGATCCAGTTAGAATCTCCCATATCTGTCAACATGCCAGAAATCCTATTCACAAAGAAACTCTCAAAAACTGACATTGAATATAGAATGGCAGTCCCGATGAAAAGCCTCGACGCTTTCCAAATCCCAGAAGGAAAACACTCTAAAGAATTTGGTGTCACTGACATCCATGGCAAGAGGTGGAGGTTCCGATGTTGTACAAGAAAAACCGACCCCTACCCTAAACCAGTCCTGTCTTCAGGTTGGATAGAGTTCGCCAAAACAAGAAGTCTCAAAGTAGGAGATGAAGTCACCTTCTCTGTGGTGGGCATGAAGAGAGCTGAGGATCTGGAATTGGGAATTCAAGCTCGGAAAAAAATCAAGTTATTCGGCAAAGTTTTGTGGAGTGATCCTCTGTGAAGAAGAAGAA